TGTATTACAGCAGTTTTAGGGCTTGAAGGTGCAGAGAGGGTAGTATTTTTTAAATGTGATCAAAGATAATAATGCGTAAAAGTTGGTGTTGTTGCTAATCAATGACATATGCCAGGCTGTGTTAACCCTCCAAAATAATTTCATTACCATGTAGTATATGGCAAATATTTCATTTTTTTTAAAACATTTATTTCAGGGGGTGGTTACTTAAAAAACTGTCTAATGACCTTTTTTCAAACTGGCATTTAAAGGTTTGAAATACTGAAAATGAATCAGGGCAGAAGTTGGTTAAAAATATCAAGTCATTGAAAGTGAAAATTGTTTTTAATATGTAAATGTCATGATGGACAGATGCTTGACTCTACTCAAGCATTGGCCTTGAAAGGTCACGATGGTTTGAAACACCGGCGTTATGAGCCATGTTCAACCCATACATCTAGAATGTTTTTATAAATCTGATTATAAATAATAAGTCAAAATTAGTACGGCCTGAGAACAAAGGTCATACCGAAGATCGCCTTAACATGGACACCACCTGGATAATGCAAACAAGGTTTGCATTATCCAAACTGTTACAGCCCAGTTGTAAGACATGGGTCCGACATGTTGAGAGGCCCGACACATAAGCCAGGGTGAGACAAGGTGGAGGGAGATTGTTGATGCCTTATTCCCCTCAAGGGACAGACAGGACTAACATAAGAATAAATGATAAAACCAGCATTTAATGAATTTGATCTAACATCATACAGAACAATGTTCAAATGAATCTCAAAAACAAACTTGGTGTTCAGTATCTCTTTAATCTTAACCCACACTGATTTTAAAATATTCACACACATTAATTCTCATGTTAATGCAAACAGTGCTTTAGCTCCATTCAGCCAATGACTAATCCACATCTGATCATTTGTTTCAAGGGCCAAAATGATAAAACCTGAGATGCAGTAACCCTGGTTCAATTCAGACTGTCCTCAGAAAAAACTTTAGCTGCCGATACAGTCTCTTACAGCAATAAAAAAGCAATCATGAGATCCATTTAGATCTGCAAAGCTAGACATGGATCTGTCTATATTATAGTTTTAGACAATAATGCATCTCTAATGCTGCTTTGCACCACTACCCTCAGTTTGATTGAAGATACCCTCAGCCCATTTGGAAGTCCGGCTGTAGCAGATCTGTTTCCCTTTGGCTGTTTGGACTCTGCAAAACAGAAAAAGGGAACAATTGATTTGATCCACCTTGTTTAGATGTAATAGGATATCCATTTTTCTATTCATCTCATCATCAGCAAGAGACTGACGGGCAGACTTACATGAATGCCTTCTTCGGACAGGAGCTGTCGGTCTCAGTTATGCTGACCACAAGTTTTGATGGTAAACTGCGTGAGTAAAATGTGAAGCAGCAGGTCAGAGGTGCCGAGTTGATACCCACTGCTTTAGCTGTCAGAAAAGTAAACGGATGAAGTCAGTACAAACATGTCTCTGAGCAGGACTCTGAAGTGGATGAGCAACAAACAGATCACTTACGCATGGCGTTGCAGCAGCAGGCAGTGAGTAGCAGCAGCCCCAGAGTGAAGGAGAGAGTCTTCATGATGATGATGATGATGATGATGATGATGATCTCTGTCTCACTTCGTCTTTGCTCTGATAGACTCTTGGTTCTGTGTCCAATTTAGATCAATTTGTAATTCTGATGTCTGCATTTTCCATTACGATCATTCCGTACACACAATATAGACTTAATTCCCCTCCCACATGTGTCACGTGAGTTTATGGTAAATGGAGACAGTTTGCTGTAGAGATTATCATCTCTCATACCACATGGGGAACAATTGCGTTATCTTTTCATCTGGGTTTCTATTCCGTCAGAGGACGCTCATACACTTTTAGTTGTCTTCAACAAAGCACAAACAAATATGTAGAGTAGACACCAGCATTTTGCTTAACAAATTAATAACATTTCCAGGGGCAGATATAGAGTTCACACAGAATGATCACATGCACAATATTTTCTTATCCTAACATTTTCTTGTGCATCCAACTGTAACCACCTACTGTGTAACTCTGTAACTTTGTAACCTCATAACTACCTACTTTGCACTACAATCAACCACAACTACCTCCCCTTGCTGCTCTCTTTGCATTATTTTGTATAGTTTTTAACGTCCTTTAAACATGCTTATTTTATTGTTATATTTTATTTCTTTTTTTTTACTAAATGCACCTTTCAGTGGTAGCTGCTGTAATTTTGCCATGCTTCATTGTGTGATGACATTAAAGGCATTCTATTCTATTCTATTCTACTTTACTGGATGAATACAAATGCACTTCCTTTGTCACAGACACAGATGTATTGTATATTGCATATTACTTCAAAACATTTGGTAATGTAACATTCTACGGTCCAGAACAGGATTAATTACCAAACTGGCAAAGTAAGCAACTGTTTCAGTTGATTGAAAATAAGTTTGGAAAAATGCACATGGGAGAGAACAATATCAGATGACATGCCGAGGGCCTTTAAAGAGGTCCTGCTTAATTACTTGATCCTAGGGCCCTGATTATGAGAGGTGCCTTCATTATCTATAGTTGTTGTGGTACTTTAAAGTTATTCCCCTAGATCAATGCATGTACTGAAATAATTCCAGAGCTGATTTACAGCAAGTGCCAGGTGTTTTCGGAAAGTTCTGAAATACTTTGCAAAATTCAAAGAGAGTGGAATGTTCCTGCTCTCACATAGCAGGTTAATCCAGCTGTGGTTTCAGCCACTAAATAAAACAGCATCAGAAAACCAGTGCTCCTTGGGAACAGACCGTACTGTATACTGTTTGAACAATATGGAGGTGGGCTGATCCACCAAAAACATATAGATTTAAATACATGATATCAAATTATTTTATCCGACAACTGTTAGTGGTTTCATTAAATGTTTTGAAATTAAAAAAAGTAAAAGTTCAAAGTTTTGTAAGTAAAAACGATCTTCCATCAGATAGCTGCGGGAAATCACCAGCCACAAAATCTGTCAGTGGCAGGAATTGGTTTCTGCCTCCGCCAGTGTAAACTAGATTTCTAGTTTATCATGAGATCAGGAAATGACACATTATACATTTGCAGAAAATTCAAGCTTCATTCCACGTGTCTCAATCAATTACTTCCCATGTATTCAATTGCACAATGTTTGATCTTCGGAGTCTTAACATGAACCCTTCCAAGCTCTCAGCTTCACTCCGCAGATGTAGCTGTTGTCCACAGATCCGATGAGGAGGGAGAATTCCTCCATGGAAGAGGACACCGATGAAGAAACATCAAAACAAACTCCTACAGGCAATGAGAAGGGTCCGGCCTTCTTCAGCAGGTTTAATCACATTTAAAAAAAACACGTTTATAGCCACTCATTTTGGTTTAAAAGAGGTATAGTGATGTATATTGCATCACAAAATAAACACAGAAGACAGAAAATCACACAACAGTGGATGAGTGAACAATGTGGCCTTGTAGGCCAAGACTGGCGCTTTGCAAATACTAAACCTGACAAAAGCTGAACATTTCACTGTCATTGTGCACATTTGGAACCCCTAACTATGCTGAGCCTTATTTCTGATGTCAGATATAAACCATTTAGACAACAAAAACAGCTCTACTGCACTGAATGCAAAGGGAGAGAGCTGGAAATGTATCCTCCTTCCCTGTTTCCTCATGTTTTCCTGACGTTTTTCCGTGTCCCTGCAGCGCTGTCTGTCCTTCTCTTGCCAATGTTTGTGTATGTGTGTGTCGCTGTGTGTGTGTGTGTGTTTTCCACAGTTCCTGTTCTCCTGCACGCCTGAGTCTCACTCCACAGTCAAGTTGTCAAGACCGGTTCATCCCAAATGACACACCCATGCTGATAGGCACACTGCGGCTCCTCTGTCTTGCACTTTGAATCTTGTCACTCTGTAACACCTATTGTACCTGTGCACAGAATAACCCGCCCTCCTTAAACACCTGCCACGCTCGGCCTGTCCCATGTCTGTTTGGATTCAAATTGTTTGGATGCCTGTCTGCTTTGTTTGAGACCTTGATTCTTAGAACCTCTACCGTTGGAACCCTCACCTATTCCTGCCTCCTGAATTGACCCATTCAAACCTTGTTGCAAGTTGTAAACAAAAACTTTAAGACTTCTGTTGTCTGTCTCTGTGTTCTGTCTCAGAGTCCAGTCAATTCTTAGAACTGAGACAGAGAGATGTTACAGTGCACTACTGTCTGATTGTATGTCTCATATTAACAATCTCAAATCCCATTTGTTGGGGTTTTGGTTATTTATAAGTATCTCTGGGCCCTCAGTGTACTTACATATAGAATAAATGTAAACGTTCAAGACGATACATAGACACAAGGACATTAAGGCTGAACAAAGATAAATAAACATATGAATACTATTTGTAACTTATAGTGGAAAGCTACAAAGACACTTTGCACCAAAGTCAATGCAGTCAATGCAAGTGGGCCTGTAATTCCAGTTTAGCCACGTTACCAGGTATGAATGGGGCCGATGAGAAGTTGGATCAACATGACAAAACTGGAATTGGACTGTATTGATTTTGGTGAATATTGCATCTATGTTGTTCCACCTACTCGTGTGCACATAGCAGTACAAGTAACGTGGTGTAGTGTAGTGAGGTATCCCAACAGCCATAAGACTTTTCAACAAACACGTAAAAACAGTGTAATAATTATTCCTCTCAGTTTTCTGAATCTACCTCCTACATATATATCTATCTCATGTGCAATATTCATATTCAGTCTTYAGGTGTGTGTGTAATACTTTTTGAATTGTTACATCCAATGTATATTTTCCACTTCCCAGGTGCAATAATCACTGAGAATTTCTGGTATCTTAGCATAGTGTTTACATTTTTCTTTATATCTATGTATATATATATAGATATATATATGTATATTTTTATTCTTATTTTATTTTTTATTTTATTTCCATACTTTTATTTTCTCTATCTTAATGCCTGTCTGCTGCTGCAATGCCAAACATTTCCCCAGTGTGGGATGAATAAGGTCTATCTTATCTTCTCTTAGAAACCAATAATGGCTTATATAGAAAACAAATATAAAACATAGAAAAGTGTCAATACAGGTTTTATATTTATATTAGGTCTGAACGGTGTGAAAGGTTCAGGTCATTAGTTTGCAGCAGAAGCAGACATTAGGAACAGCGCACAAACAAACCAATCAGGTGTAAAGTAGACTCCATTCAAAGTGTAACATCTTAATATGTCTTATTATTTCTTATTAAACACGTTCAATCTATGTGACACGCACCACAACAGTGATTCGTACAGTTAAGTGGTCAAAGCTGAACAAGTCTAATGTGATGGTAGATTACCGTATGTGAAGGAGCGGAATCCTCCTTTGCGTGTTTACTCTGTTTATTAGGGTAAAACGGCCTCCATTTGAGCCAGTCGCACCACAGACCTGGGATCAGCCCGTGTGTAAGCTGACCCCAGCAGTTGGCTGTTGGGCCGTAGCCTGTATTTGAAGGTGTAGACCGGTCCCGGATCAGCGCTGCCGGAGAGTGTCTTACTGGCTGTGACCATGGGCTGTGACCCGCCCCGCCCACGTCAGAAGACCCGCTGAAATTCAAAGTTAGAGGAGGAGGAGGCAGGAGGTCTCTGTGTGTTTATGTCTGCGGTCAGAAGAAGAAGACTCCTCTGCTCCTGGTCTGAACTCCCCTCACCTCCTCAGGTAACACGACACGTCGAGCTCTTCGTGCTGCACGCTGCTAATGTACCGCGCTTCAGTTTGCTCCTGCTAATATTAGCTCGCCCTTCTCAAAGCTAGGCTAACGTGTTGTCAGGATAAGTGAACTCGAGACGAGCGCCGTTGACTCTTACTTGTAGCTAATGTGGCTAACGTGGCTGTCGGGTTGTCAGCGCAGTCGAGTTTGGCTAACATGGCGGTTTGGATGTGTTGGCAGCGTTTCTCAGGTGACGCTACGTATTCAGCTGACATGCTGCTAGCTCGGCTAGCTAAGAAACCGAGTCATGTTGGAATGAGCCGAGCAGAAAGTGTGGGGCGTTGTCGCGTTTCGTAAATCTGGGCCACAGACGAAACGCTGTAACCCGCCTGCATGGTAAACACGTCCGAGCTCGCTTCAGTCGTTTTAATCAAACAGTTGTAACGTATACAAACTGAAACATGGTAGCCATGTCCATGACCTTCACTGGTAAACATTCTCATCCTAACACGATGCAATAAGACAGACTATTAATCCCGAAGGAAATCCTTGTGTCAGATTACAGTAACAGTACAACATACAACAGAGTACAGGAGGATCGAACCATAGAGGTTGCACCTCTCAGGGTAGTGTTGGTAAACAGGTGTCAGCATTGAAGGCAGTGAGAGCAGGCATCTTGATCAGAAAAACGTCTCCAGTGTGTGATGTCTCTGATTGCAGCTCAGTATGGAAACTGGCGAGGAAAACAACGCAAGCATGAAGAGACAGAGAACCCCACTGTCAGATTCTGAAGACAATGTCTTCTCACCTCCAGGTTTGTTTGTGCCCATATTAACCAGAATTGCAACTTTCACACCTTGATTTATATTTATAACTTGTATATCATTTGTTTGTCTCCATTGTTGTCTCCTATGTGTCAGAGGTGAATGATGGCCAGAAGCGGCGGCGTCTGGACGTAGCAGGTCAAGAGAACCGAAGCCCTAAACCATCCAGCTCTGGACGACTAGCTGAGCTTGGGATGAAGCCAGATACACCGATGGTTCCCTCAGTGCAGTCCCGGGTCCACCAGCTCACCCAGAGAAGAGAGGGTAATCCTGCCTTTTCTATATTGTTCACCCAGCTTTTGAATGCCTCTGCACCAGGGACAACAGTGGCCAGACACATTATGTATTCAAGTTGTCCGTTTATCCCATTCTTGTTAATTGAGTCCCATTTTTGTCAATTAGTTGTCAAAGTTCAAAGTTCATTCAATTTGAAATAAAGTCATAAATACTACTATGAAGTGTCAATTCTCAGCATTATGTTGAGTTGGTTGTTGTAAAATAGTTTTATTTCAATTTGAATGTTCTGCTTCACAAAGCCTGTAGAAAAAAACATTTCTCGATTTCTGATTGCTTCCAGTCTTCCAGATTATCTACATATAAGACAAGAACTCTTGTCAAGCTGTTGAGTAAACTGTGTGAAGCTGTTAGGGCAGTAGTTTATAACAGTAGTATGTGTTTTTGTTTTTTCAATGAAGGATCTCCAATGTCCCAGAGGTGCCTCTCGGATCCTGGGGCTGACAGCCCAGCAGCTATCGTCCATGACAAGGGCTTCAGAGAGCATCTCCTTGGTAAGAATGCATATGAACACATGCATAATGGGTAATGCAATAGATGGAAGTTGGTACAATGTGAGTTGTTTAGGTGGAGTGGTGCGAGTGACTCTAGGAGTATTTTATTGGTAGTTGAAGTAGTGTTGCAAGCTTTTCCCAGATATATCATAAGATAAGGCTGATATCATATTGTGGACTCACATATGTGTGCATGGGCGTGTGCACACACACACTCCCCCCTCTCTCTCTCTGACACAGAGAGACACACACTCAGCGGACGTCTCCGACCCGCTACAGTTTAAATTACGTTTTTTTAAATGACGCCACAATATCAACACAGATAATCACATCATGGTTGATACTTAGATTATATTAGTTAAATCTTTCTTCATAGCTGCATGCATTCATTCATAATTCAAAATTAACTGACTCTGCGCTGTCTTTCTCTCGTGCTGAGCCAAACCAACACGCACATTCGCACACACACAAAAACGGTGTCATTTGACATATGTGCAAACTCAGACTGGGTAAAAACACCAACATTCGTGAGCTATTTTAAGTTTTTTGAATTCATATCTACCTTTTTTTTGTCCCTCCAGGTGAGGGAGAGTTCAGTCAGCGAATGGAACGATTTAAAGTCCCAGTCCTCCAGACTGGCCTCACACCGAGCCCTGCGAGCCTGTGCTCTCGAACCCGATCTAACTTAGTATCTGACATCCATCAGAAACTCCAGGGCACGACGACACCCAGCTCCAAGCAGGCCTCTCGTATTCGCCAGGTTGGTTGACCTGCCTTATGACTAAAATCAGTAATATCTAGAAAACAGTGTTTTACACATTTGTAGCTCTTAAGTTCTAATACTTAAATGTGTAAGTGAACTTAAATTTTATATGATGAAATAGATCATGATAATTTTTCTCATCTAAAGAGGTTGTGTCTGATGTTGTTTCTTGGTTCAGGAACGGGATCAGGAATTAAGCCAGCTACATTTCCAACCAATCAGTGAGAACGCCTGGCTAAAGAGAAGCAGCTCGGATCCCTCATTGGCTCAGGTGAGTTTATTTTGTATACGGAAAAATAAATCTTTGTATCTGACGTTTTATTCCATGATTAAGACAAGATGAGACAGCACTGACACTGTGACTATATCAACATGAAATATCATTGTCAAAAAGACTAACACAGTTTAAAAAACTAAAACTTTACCTAAACCTAGCTATATTTCCAGTGATGAAAAAAAAAAATTACAGTGTTTTGTATTTTTTTGTCCTAAATAACAAGAACTTGATCTAAATGTCCAATTTCTTTTCCTATCAATTTATCTTTCTGGTGATTCCTTCCTACCAGTAGTGCAACATAATTATACTGACATCAGCACTGGACTGTGCCCAGTGTTAAACTTTAACATTATGGCTTCTTGAGATCAAATAATGACAGCTACAAACCAAGTTGACATTTGGACCTGCTTTAAATATGATGAAGCTACAAAATCACTGGCAAGAAAATCATTAAACTGACGAACCACACAGGCATGAGGTACGTTGGGTACGTGCTTTGTGTGCAAAGGAGTTCCAAACATTTTCCTAACGCCATTTCCCCCATCACAAGCTCACAAAATTACATCATAAAATCAATCTTTCTGCCCCAGACCTAACAACCTGAACATTATAAGATGAGGATTTGAGGTCGAAGAGGGCTTGTGAGGGCTTTTTTTATTTGATTTTTTTTCTGGTCACTCTCTGATTGACACTTTGTGCAAGATTTGTTATTGTTGCTGCTTCTTTCCAGGATGTTAAACTCATTTGGATGAGCACTTTGCTGATGTTTAACTAAAATCCTCATTGTTCGTACGTTTGGTATAAAACCTGAATTTCCAAAAATGTAGTAGATTCTAAAAAGAATAAGGTTGACTCCAGCAGACATCCTGACTCATTTACTCTTATGCTTGTGTTCTATTAACATTAGCCACTCTGCATTTAGTTTACATCTGCTTTCACATGAGATGTGAGGTGGTGTATCGCTGACTCTGGAGATATTTGTCTAATCTCTCAGAATTTACTGATATGTTAAAGTTAATGTGGTTAATATTATCTTAATATACATCGATTGACAATAATAAACTCAGCATTTTCTCTCAGTCATTAGTGTATTAGGTTCAAGGATCAGGGATTCTTCCTCTTTGCCCAGCACATGTCCGAACTGACCAAATGATTGAAAACTCAATATGTTGTTTTTGTGGATACAATTATTGTTTCACTTATGTTTTAGTCTCTTTTACACTTTGAGTGATTTTTTACACACCTGCTTGTGTAAATATTAGCAGGGAAGGAGCACTCCTGGCCCCTCATCTCCCTCCTCCTGGGTCCCTAGATCTGGAAGGAGAGTTCATTGGCCTCCCATGCAGCCCAGGGATGTGAGTCAGTGATTACTGTCTGGTCACTTGGTGCACATGGGAAATACTTTGAGCCAATACACTTGGTAATCTCGGCCCCAGTCTTCAGAGGGAAAGGAGTTCACCTTTTAGATAGTCTGTGGTGTGGTTTTATTGAAGTGGGTTGTTATCTTCTAACTTGTAGTGAATAGTTTCATTTGATGCTGACCAAACATTTGTACGTTCTGTTCTGTTGTCAACTTATTTATATGCAATGATCTACTTAAAACTGAGCTACCTCTTATTGTCCCACTATTGTTTCTCTCAGCAGGATGAGGGTGAAGCTCAGAAGAAAGATGGCAGCTTCAGTGAACCTACATCAGCTGCAGAGAATCTGTCTGTAAACACAACAGGTAAGACCTTTGGCACCATGTTTTCCCCAACAGACTATTCATAATGAAATGTATAACTTCTTTTGCATGCACAGACTTAACGCAGGTAAAGTATGAATGTCCTGAATTGCTGTCCAAGGTCTATATTGATTGACTTTTCTTTTATTAATCTAACAATACATTTTTCGATTAATCTTCGGAAATGTCTAACGTGTTATGATTCAGTGCCATGTATTTTGAAGTAGCTGAGTAGTTGTATCAATGTCTGTATGAAGTCTAAAACTAAAATAACGTACAATTCAATAGTATTTCAACAAAGTTTATTATTAATTTTCACACTGAACTGGAGGGTACACTGATAATTAAATAGGTTTTCTTTTCTGGTTTCAAATGAACTAGGGTTTGCATTTAAAAACAAAACTGAAAGAAAGAAGAAAAGGGGAAACTCAAACTACATCCTTTTTTCTTTTAAAATTAACCCATTCATTGTAAGATGCCTTTCTCAAAAGCTCTTCACTACATTTCACATATACACAATCCCAACAAATATTAAAAACTAAACAACTTTAACTCTTGTCTTTGCCCTCACTCTGTCTTGTTCGGTGAGAGAAGTAAACTGTACCATGTGCTGACAGGATTTATTACTGTAAATATGCAGAAAAATAGCGCAGGTTGAAATAGAAACGCTCTGTCAAAATCTAATTATAGGTCTGGGTTGTATAGAATGTCGCTGTGTCCAGTTCCGGACCGTGGCCCGTCTGTTGGTGACCTATTGATTGTGGGCGATTTTTTTTTTTCTTCCCATTTAGCTTGCTAATCCATGCTTTGACTAGGCGGAGCAAATTAATGTATTAATGTGATCGGCCCCAGCCCTAATTCAAAGTGATGAAAAATACGATCCATTAATGGAAAAACTTGATTCGAATTACAGCGTATTTATTTCTCGTGACTCTTACGACAGGTCTTGTTGTGTCTGTAAGAAAACTCAAAGTATGAGAAAATGCGACACGGTCTCCTATATCACTTGTATGCAGAACTTAAGAACAAGACTTCTTGCACGTTCTTACATTTGTTATCATGCCAGATGTCTTTCCTTTCTTAAGTAGAGTGATTGTGTTTTCCCAAAAGATTCAATATTTTACTCTGCAGATTTAAAGTATCATTTGACTTGAAATCCATACTTGTTACCTGCTCTAACTTATGTTAACTTTCCTGCATTGACACTTAGTTTTAAGATGTGAGACTAATCTTTCAACAACAGGTCTTTGCTCTAGCGAAGGGCAGCTGCAAATTGAGGGGAAGGAAAACACTCATCACAGTGAAGAAGTCATGAAAGAGAAAGACCACAAGGCTTCAGTTGGAAATGAAGAGCAGCTTGAGGCAAAAGAATCAGAGACCGTATTGAAGCTGTCTTTTAGTGAGGATCAGAGTTTCTCCAAAACATGTTTCAGTGAGGATCCCCAAGTGTCATGTGACGAAGAGAGGCTGCTGGAATCAACTAGTCCACAAGAACCAAACAATGACAAAACCGGCAAGGGTTCCAAAGCAACTGAACAGAGCAAGAAAGAGAGTTTTTTATTGGAAGAAGATGAAAAGATGGATGGTGATTCTTTATGTAATGACGAGGAGATTGAGCTCTCAACAGACGAGGAGTGTCGGTTGTGGAGATATCCTCAGCACGAGGTGTGCAAAGAGGAAGGGTCTGTCATATCTGAAGAGCTGCAGGGAGATTTGTCCGCTGAGGAGAAACTGCAATTATCAGGATTGGAGGAGGAGGAGGAAGGAGGCAGTGTTGCAGATCACAGTGATCCCTCTGACATCCAGGACAGTGACTGTTATTTGGTTGATGTCTCTGTTGAGATGGCCAATTCCTCTGAATTGCAGGAAGATGATAAATCTAGACTAGAAGAGGACTCTGTGATGGACCAGTGTTCTTTAAACAGAGAACATGTGAACATGGAGTTCAAAGAAGAATGTAAAGAGGGAGCAGCCAGTGAAGATACTAGTATTTCTACCACGACACAAGACCAGAAAGACATAGAGGGATGTACTCAAGAGGAAGATATATGTCAACAGTCAAAAGACGTCCTAACAATCGATATAAAGGAAGAACATATGGATCTAGAGTCTGGCCTAAATAGCAGAGGGGAACAAATTACATCATCTCCTTTTGCAGATGTAGCTCAGAAAGAAATACAGACAGTGTATACAGAGCTTCCGAGAAACACTGAAGATGCAGCACAGTCAAAAACAAGGGCCCATGTCCAGACTGTAGATGTCGCTGATGATGCAGTCCTGAGTTTAACAGAGGTCGAGGTGTCAGAATATAGTCTGGAAGAAGAAAAGGAGCAAGAATCAGTCGATGAAAGACAGGGTGTTATAGATGGGCTGCCAGAACAAACTCACAAATCAGTGGGAGGAGAGAGCTTAAAGAAAGTCACATTTATCCTGGAGCCTGAGCTTATCAATGACTCATCATTGTCTGAGGCCAGGACCTCTGAGGAGTCCAGAGCAGAGATGAGCATGTCAGGTAAGACCAGTCGAAGATGTATGTGTGAGCACTGGGCTTGTGAGGACACTTCAGAGGGGTGGAGCATGTTGGTGACATTGTCGGTGACACTAAGGTCCTTCACCACTGGTAAACTGCACACACTGGGTCGAAGGTGATGTTTGTTTGAATAACATGTGGTTTTGCAAAGTCACCAGCCCATCTCCTTTTTACAGGAACTGTAATCCTTATTTGCCTCTAAAAGTGATTTGCTCCATTTTTGTTTGTTTTGTTTCTTTAGATGCTGAGCTGAGCTCTCATGATGAGACCAACACCAATGAAATTATCGATCAGATGTTCGAAGAGGTGTTGGAATATGCTGGAAGGATGGAGCAAGAGAGAGGAAATGATGAAGATCCTGACTATGGTGATAGTGGCATTGGTGTTTGCTCTGGAGACAAAGATAAAATGGACACAGAGTCTGAGAAGGAGAAAAGTAAAGAAGAGGGAGAGGCCAAAGAAGAGTGTGATGAGAACAATGGAGATGAGTTGCTCACTTTTCCTCCCAGTGGCATCCTCTCTCCTCTCAGCAAGTCGGTGGAGGCTTGGGTTACCCCTCTGGTAAGAAGACTTGTTACTGCTACTACTAAGTTAATAGATTCAGAAGCAGGACAAATACTGTTTATTAATGTTTAATATTCTATCAACAGCGGCTGGCAACAAGCCAGGAATCCAATCCTCCCTCTCTGCTCCTGACTCCAGAGGAGACCCTCTCCCCTGCGGTTGAGTCTGTTCCTCTGTACAGGTACAGGTCAAAGCCTCAACTCTATTTGGAATAAACCAAATGTGGTTGAGTATCGTTCTGGCCTTTTCTGATGCTGGTGCTAAATTGATAGTTTTCAAACTGTTCTGATGCCTAAACTCTGCCAGAACCAATACTTTTTTCTTTAAAAGAGCTCATAACAACAGTTGATGATAACAACAACAACTTTTTTTATTGCAAAGACAGTTTAGATTTAATATGTTAAGTGTTAACAGTTTAAGATATACTTAACCTAAATATACAAATATAGTGTAAAATCTCACAAAATTACTTAATAAATAAAACCTAACCAACTAGAATAATTTAACAATGATTGTTTTAGTTCTTTACATAGAAAAAAATACTACAGCTCCAAACTTGTCATCAATTGTCTCCCCACCACTGGGGCAGTCTAAGAAATAACATGCCCAGTGAATTTGCTTCCCAAGTAGGATCAGATACTGTACTATCTTTCACTAATAATCCAAAATATGAGTGTATATATATATATTATCCTGTAACATGCTCAACTGTAATCTGATTGGTTGTTTCTGTGATTGACAGTATTGATGCCTACCGTACACAAAGGCAGAACAAGCTGCCCCCCATTCAGAGTGTCACTCCCGGGGTTCAGAGACGAGCTCCAGAGAAGTCACAGCCTCAACATTCTGTCAACACCAAGGAGAGAATCACGGTGTGTAACACAGTACTTGGTTATTGATGTGATTGATGGAAGAAGACAAATTCTCATGTTATACCAGTTACTAATCAGAGTTACTAACCTTCCCATTACAAAAAACTGACAACTGAAAATGTAGACTGTACTGCTGAAACTTGACTTCTGTTTGATTGAATTAAATCTCATACAAATGTTCCTTTACCCATGATACCACTTGTTGTTCTGTGTGTAACCAGGCTCTTAATGAGGAAGCAGGGAAACTTCAGACTGTGATCAGCCAGACCCTGCAGGCTCTGAGCTGCTGTACTGATGAGGAGCATGGACGAGGCTCGCTGGAGGAGGCTGAAGCTGAAAAACTACTGCTGGTGTCTTGTAAGTAGACCACATGGCTGTGTTTGTTTTGTTCATTCTTTTAGAATATATTCAATAATCTCTTGATTAAGATTCTGGAACAACTAGTGTAGATATCACAAATATTTAGTCAGCATAATTCATTCAATCTATGGAGTAGTGTGGATGCACGAAGGTTTCTCATGCACAACAGATTCCAAGTGACAAATACAATGACTGAGAGTGAAAGACAAGTTCTGAAGTGTTAGAGAGAGAGCTGCATTGTATGATATCTGTGGTTACGTGCACAACTGCATCTAAACTGAGGTTTGACTGCATCTAAGTAACAACTTTATGAATAGTACCACGACCACGCATGATGCAAATGCACACAGTCATACAATGCAGTAACAGAGCAAAACTGTAAGATGAAGATCTACATGTATTATGAGAAGTATAAACATTTTGAGGTCGTTATGAAACTGAATACGCCACCTCACCAAAATCTAGATATATAATTGGAAAGCACCTACTTAATAATCTCATAGTAAGATCATGTTTTATTATTTCTCTGTAGCCTTATTCTTGTGGTAAAAGAAAGAAAGAAAAGAAACTTGTCTGTTGATGAGGTTTTGTCCTTATTTTCTATAAAATGTTAGACTGTGTAGAAGAGAATGTGAACCTAGTTTATCCAGCTGAGCTGAACAGCAAAACTGGAGAGCAGCTTAAAGAAGCCAACAACAACAATAACCAACACTGTCCGCAAAAGACTCAACAGCCCAAGAGCTCATGTATACAGACTGAAATCTAAAATCTCAATTAGTAATAGTTATAACATAATTTTCAACTAATCTGAAACAGTAATATCATTGCTTCAAATACTTTAATATTCTTAGACCTACAGTAACTGTTGTTCTAATCCATCGCTGCAGCTTCTGTGTTTTAATCTGCAAAAAACAAACTAATGAGATTTTGTACCCATGTACTTGAAACATAAGAACATCATGGAGACAACATGTATTTCAGGTGAGAAACGCTCTGCCCTGCTGGCGGAAGTGTCTAGACTGAGGGAGGAGAGGAACTCAGAGACTGGAGTGGCAGCAGGGGAGGACAAGGAATATGTTTCCCAGCAGCCCTGTAGAGGCACCGTCAGCATCACAAACATCCAGCTGCCTCTTAAGTTTGAATTTGTCTGCTCCTCCCAAAACCGCTCAGGTAAACAGCAAAAAGACATTGTGTATGGTACGGTCACCCATACAGCTTTATGTCTTAACTAAAAACATGATTACCACAAGCAATGATTGACATCCCCTTTAAAAGGATTGTTTTTGTACATGTTCAGGTAGACCAAGTCACTACTTTTTCATCCTGATCCGCTACGGACCCTGCAACATCATCGCTACCCCGCTGGCCACAGCTGCTGACGCTCAGAATGGAGACACCATCTCCTTCCCCACCTCTGTCACTCTGTAAGCTGCAGTTGACCAGAATGAATCAGAATTATAATGGTCACATGTGAACAACAAACAATTCATATTGACCTTGTCTTGTCCGTAGAGAGTTTAATGGTTAAATTAATATGATTACTTCAGTAGAAATCTGTAATGTCGATTAAATCTCATTTTGTCCTTTGCTTAATATTTCAGGAAGGACATTCGCTCATCCTTCGAGATTGATGTAGAAGTCTATAGTCTGGTGAGATAAACATTCTGCCAATTCTCATGCACACCCTGAATGACAGTTTCACAGACGGACCCAGTGTCAGTCAAACAACATTTGCACAGCTAAAGCAGAAACTAAGGTGTTATGGCGAGCTCTGCCTGTTTCCAGAGGACAGTACAAACACTAGGAAATCTTTTTCTGATTGGCCTCTGACTATGACTGACAGACCTGTGTCTGTGAGAGAGAGGTCTAAAACAGAGTAAAGGTACAAAACACCATAAGATTTTTCATGTGTAAAAAAAAAAAAAATCCTTGTTTATTTAAATGCAAAACACTGAGGGCATAGAAATTCACTGCACAGTTTGATCGATGTGATGCACTTATTTATTATGTTTTCTGTTTTCATGCCATCTAGTCCCACACTTCAGGTAGTAACTGCAGTGTGGACCGGACCACCACCAAGTCACGGGTAATTACATACATTTCTTACAAACAACTAGATGTGCATTTATTAAAGTCTAACTCCCTTATTGTGTCTTTATATACCTAGGTTACACCGAGAAAGCTTTTGAACACCATCACAGTGAGTACAGTGTCTTTATTTCATACTTACATATTCAGGTATGTTTTATGCTGTTTGTTTGTTTTTTTACTTGTCCTGGAAGTGTTGCAACTAAACATTTTCATTTCTTTTTTCAACAGAGATCCAGTAACACTCTGACATGTGAGTTGTGTCAATTTCCCCTTTTCTCTGAATCCATTAACTCTAGAATGGTAGCTAGTAAATGTTTAAATAAAGCTTTGAGAATTTAATGTGGCATCAGTTCTTTGTGCTGAAAAAGCCTGGTTAAACTGGTCGTAATGGTCAGGCATATTTCTTTTTTTCTTATGAGATTTCATTCTTGTCCTTCAGCTGCTGCTGTGCCTGCTCTCAACGCTCGTCGCTCCAGTAACTTTTGTCTCGTGGGCTCCCATAAGATCACCTTGGCCTCGCTGGGACACAGCAAGTTCCCTCTGGATAAGGTAAATGTCTGGGAAGAGCTGCTCACTCTGTCACATTGCAGCCAAAGATTGTGTCTGAACTAAGTAGTAAGGGATGTTTGGGGAAAAGCAGGATTGTTTGTCAGTCTAATCATTTTAAATGCGGATCTCCAGCGATCAATTAAAACAGATCATATCCACTTAAGGTCTGATGTTTGTCAGATTGGTGTGCTAAAACTTTGGTGGATATGTTTTGTAAGTAGAGACATGTACATGTATGTGAAGGTTGTTAATAGAATCATTTCAAAGCATGGCACATGTCACAAAATCACTGTCACCAAGCTTTGCTCCTATCTTCTTTTTATTTTTGAACAAACAACCATCTGGGCGCCACTACCCAGTACACCTACCCCTTTACTTCCTTTATTATTCTGTTAGAACTTGTGCACATGGGTGGGCTCACTGGTGATGTAACGTGTCTGTCTCCCTCCCCTCTCTCTGTCTTGCTTCTTCCACTCAGATGAAACTTGAAGGCAAAATCAGGAGACTGCTGGGAGATGAATTTCAGGAAAAGGTTTCACTCTTTTCTCAACACTGTCACCCATTCACCTCTCACTTTCCACTCAGCTCCACTGCCTCAGTCTTTATGGTTTCATTTCCTTCTTTTAGTTCCACCTCAACCTTGCAATGCAATCTGTTATGTTGGTGTTTTTAATCTTAACGCCTGTACATTTTTGTTATGACATCTACTTTGATGCGTGTGTGGTCCTAGTTAAAACGTATTTGTGGAAATATTCATACACACTCAGAATCGACCAGTTATAAATGAAACCTCTTACAAATGAGAGAGGTTGTGACCATGTCTGATCACTTTGTGACTGTTGCATCTCAGGTTGTTTGTCTTTACAAACTGAATGAGGAGAAGAGCATGCTGGAGTGAAATTCTTCAAGATACTGTTTCCTGTTTGTATCTTTTCCGCATCCTACCATTTCTCCTCCCTCTTCTCTCCCGGCCTGTAGGTGCCCTTTCTCTCTCCTCTAGAGGGCAACATCTACCTTAGACTGGACAGCCAGAGTCACTCCAATGTGCAGCACCAAGGCTTCCTGGTCAGTGAGGTTTTTTTATTTACTGTATTCTCTGACTACGTTCACACAGCGAGCTCAAGTGGCCAGAATCTGATTTCGTTTTTTCTATGGGACCCAGATCTAATTGTTTAATGACTCAAATCACATGGAATCTGACTTGTTGTGGTTTTTATCAGATTGGTGTTACTTTCATATGTTGTTCTAAATCAGATACAGTGCAGAGTTTTTGAAATGTGACCTCAGTTTGAACCTGTATCTGAAGTCAATGCAACTTTTTCATCACTCTATAGACATTTCTCATAATTTTGTATAGGAAAGGGGTGGGCAGGAGACACCCAGTGAAAACAACATGCTACGTATTACATCTTGTTGTTTTAAACATGCGGGTCAGGTCAAAAAGTAATGTGAATGGCTACAAAAAAAAATCAGAATTGAGCACTAAAGCTTGCAGTGTGAACCTGGTGTCTGACTCGATCAGTGTCACACATTGTGTATTTTAATGTTGATATATAAAGCAAATAGAGTGAGATTTACGTTAAACTCCTTTGGGAAATAGGTTCTCTTTACTTAAATGGTTGATTTCAAGAGTAATGTTATATTAAAAGATTTAAGTCTTTTAATATCACAACTTTATGCTCATAAATGTACAACTATATTTTCCTTTATTTGCAACTTTACTCTCCAAAAATGATGACTTCATTTTTGTAATATTATGAATATTATGACTTTTTCAAATATTACAAATTTATTCTCATATTTTAAAATTCTTCGAAATCTAAAAAAAACCTTAAGTGGCCCAAAATAGACAGTTTAATTTAAGAACCTTTGATTATACCATGTCACATTTTGCAGTCTCACTGATGTTTTCCTGGTTCTGTTCCCAGACAATGTTTGAGTTGGTCAGTGGATTTGGGGTGTGGCATCGCAGATATTTTGTCCTGGAGGGATACAGCATGCACTCCTGGAACCATCCCAATGACAGAGAAACCAAGGTATGAATACACCAACACACTAAATGTGCAGACAAACTCACCAAGCTACTTTGAGCAGGTTTGATTCAGTCTTGTGGGTTCACCTCTCAGCAGGCAGAGGGCAGCATCTCTCTGTCCAGCTCTCCCAGTCAGTGCGTCAGGCCTGTCAAGAGGGACTCGTGTGCTCGACCTTTCACCTTCGAGCTGGTGAGCAACATCCCACATCAGCAGCAGGAGGACAGACAGGAGGCAGTGGCCAAGTAAGTCTGAATAAAAGAAGAACTTTGGGAGTTTGTGAAGCAGAATTCTTGTGGTGTTCTCGGATGGCGATCAATTTACCTACCGTGTGTTAATCCTCGACCTAGATGACCCTTTTCATCATTTTGGCCCATTTAGACTTTATCATCAAAGCCTGTTTATGTATAGTTACCACACAGTAAGCTTGAAGTCTGCTCCTCTTGTGGCAGCAGTGATGTCAGTGGGTGTTTAACTTTTGGCAGAAAGACCTTCTGTGACATCAGATTTGGGTTGTGGCTGGAGACATTCCTGCAGTAATTGCAAATGAACTGATCACTGGTGTTCTTCTGTCTTGCTCAGGTGTTGGTTTTCAGCCGACACCAAACAGGAGCGATCAGACTGGATGGAGAAACTCAACCAAGTTCTTTTGGACATTCACACGTGGAACCGAGCATCAGCGACCCAAACAGAAAGTCAGCAGTCTAACACGAGCAGTGGGAACTTGAGGGAAAGCATACTGTAACTACATCGATATGTGCCGAGATGCAGTTTAAATAGGTTGTATCTGTCTGGGATCCACGAAGGGCCGGTAGATTCTTAATGTCAGTGCAGCAGGAGATGAGCTTCGACTCTGTTTCACTGATTAAACCAAACAGCATTCTACACATAAAACAAACATGCAACATGTGATGCGTCTCACGTTGAGTTATTTTTTGGAGATTCTTCTGTTTAAGTTTCAGTTTATTTCTTTTTATCTGAATCCAATCATTTACTGTTGGTTTTCACTTTTATTTGCCAATTTATAGTTGCCATTTGAATCTTTTTAGTTCTCTTTACTTTGATTTTGTGCAAGTAACGTTTTGTTTTTACTTGTTTTCTATGGCAATCAGCTGCTTTAGCCTTCAATGGCTCTGTTATATTGTCACTTTGAGTAGCTAAGATGAAACCTCTCTTGTAGCTTATATATTTTTGAAATGATGAAAGTGATATTGTATGTTTGTATCATTTGAACTGGAATGATAGACACATTTATTTAGACACTAATGAATATTGAAGGAGAAGGAATTCTTTAAATCTACTAAACTGATTTAGGATGAGAATGTATTTGGAATGGCAGGGAACTAATGAAGGAGGGCCAGTGTTGGAATGGGAGCTTCTGTTAGTCATTTAGGCAAGTTATCTATTCCTGTCTGGTGAAATAATAGGTTTTTGATCAGGGGCTCTAAGTTGAAGTAATATGGGTTTTTGTTACACTGAACCAATCAATATTTGACTGTTTATAACTCGATCTCGAGTCTCAATCTCTTCCTATTGTCGGCACAAAGTGTCACTGGTGTCTTGGGGTTGTACTTCCTACTTAGTGCCCTTAAGAGTTCACTCATATTCTTGAGTACATGATTTGTGTTACTGCACATTTAAAGCCGTATATATGTACATGTGTAGACTCGTGTTATATACATAGATACCAGATGAAGAGACGTGGTAAAAGGGGGGACTGCAGTGATGCTGCTACAATGAATGTGGTCTGTTATGTCTGATGTCCTGTTCTTTTCCGTGTGTTTCCACTGATGAGTCTGTCACTTTGTTATAAATGTTGTTCATGTCAACTCTCATATGCACTTAATGGAAGGTACCAATAAAATGAATGGAATTAAAAGGCAACAAAAACAGTTTCAGTGGATGAATGGGGCCAAGCCAGCCAGTAGCTCTGTGTGCAAGTGCTGGAATGAAAATGTAATGTCTTGTTATCCGTCAATATTTTGTGATGTCACTTTGATATTTTATTTAACTTTTCACTGGAACCCTGTTAGAGTGGGCACATACGGTATTTTTAACACATCAATCCATGTATTGGTTTAAGACACTTCTCGCCTCTTTGTTTATGTTTATTCACATACTAAAACGGGGAGAAGTGCAGGAGGCACTGTGAGTCTGGCAGGAAGGCAACTTGGGTCAGGAATGTCATACAGGAAGTGGTCTAGAATTAGACATCCTGTTCGTCCCAGAGCCTCTGGGTGGAGGCGCTGCTGGATGTTATGGAGCTTAAGGTGATGACAACAAAGGGAGGGCAGCATTCTGTCTTCAGTACGCGCACGGCTGTGTCCAATCAGCCGACACTGGCTCTCACAAGCCTCTTATACATGTACAGTGGTACAGCACACATTTTTTTACTGTAGAGAATTTACAAAACTATACGGCAATCATTCAAAAGTGCAAGAGGACAGGTCAGCAGCGGCTGTCCTCTAATCAGAAGGTCGGTGGTTTGATCCCAGTCTAACCCATTCCAAATGCTGAAGTGTCCATGGGCAGATACTGAACCCCAAATGGGATTCTCATTGAGAAACGTGCTGCACGCTATGAATGTGTGTGTGAATGTCAAACTACTGTAAAGTGCTTTGAGTGGTCATCAACACTAAAAAAGCTCAATATAAATACAAACCATTTACATGGAACAGTAACATGTCAATCAAAAGCCACTGCAGTCATTCTGATAAACTGACTGACTCCAGTGGGCGTGGCTTTAAATGGCCATATCAGAATGTTGTAAACACTAACTATCAGATCATTCTTATTGTGAGTGATGAATGGTAGACGGTGAGCCAGTTCAGTTTATTATCACAGCAACAAATAAAATGGCAAGCAGGTTTACTGACCTTCATCAGCATTTGAATTCAAATTATTTGAGAGTCTCCCGCCCTCATTGCTGTGAATGTAAGCCAGATAGTAGTTCTACAGCAGAGGGAGTGACTGAGCTGGGGAGAATCACTCTGACGGCAGTCTGCTGTCACTGGGCTGGGGCTCGGCAGATCAGCGGCCTCTCCGTCCTCAGTGATGTGTCCCCACCCTGCAGGAAGATGTTCTGCACAACATCCTGGTGTGGCAGCCTCTGTCCTGATCTGATTCCCTCCACGGCCCTGGAGGAAACGGTTCCTGTGGCAAACAAACAAGAGGTGATGCTAAGGTGGGTACCCCTGCTACCATGACTAATACAGGATGGAGAAATGGAGGTGGATTTCACTTGAAATTGCACCTCAACTGAACACTAAATACTAGACTGATAATTTGCTCAACAAGGTTGTATTCTGTGTGAAGAAAGTAAGACATTGTAAAAAAAAAAAAAGATAACGAGTCTCATTTCATCTGTCATTACATATAAACCTGGTTTTACTTTTTTGGTTAAAGAAACTATGATCAATATCTTATCCTAGCAATTGATCTAATGATTCATTGCAATGTGTAATCTATGTATGTGGTATGTGCCTGGTGATTAACATTGTGATTACCCAGGTCACCAGTTCACCACAGCTCTATGAAGTATCTATCAGCGCATTGTTTTTTTTTTACAACTTAAACCTTTTAAGCAATCAATTTTTATTTGTATAGCTCATATTAACAAATCACAATTTGTCTCATAGGGCTTAACAAGGTGCGACATCTCCTGTCCTTAACCCTCAACAGGAGTAAAGAGAACGTAACCCAGAAAACACTTTAACTGGAAAAAAACCTAGAAACTTCAGAGAGAGCCTTATGTGAGGGATCCCTCTCCCAGAACAGACAGAAGTGCAATAGATGCAGTTCTCAATTCATCGCACTGGCCACTGACACATGTAAAGAATCTTTGGGGCGCTATATGAATTCAAGCTATTATTATTATTATTATCACAGCAGCAGCAGATACAGTAGCTGTAAACACTCATTGTGCGCTATCTATCCAGCAGCACACACCATACAGCGTTAGCAGCTCGCTGGTGAACATGGTGGAGCAGTTGGCAGCCAAAACACCGCATATGACCTTAAACATACTTAAGTGTGATAAGAACTACCTAAAATGACAAAAACAATCCTTGAGAAAAGTTTATTTGATGCATATTTTGACTTTTTAGTTTAGCTTTAACATGTAGGAGGCAGGCTTTATGACATATACTGCAGCCAGTCACCAGTTTACAAGTCCAAAAAGAAATAGAAACAGGAAGTTATATTGAATTGTCGCCAGGGCCTTGGTTCCCAACTCATCACAAACAACAACAAAGCAGTTGTCTTACCCTTTCCATAATCAGAGTGCTGTGTTTGGTGAAATCTTGTCCTATGACCCTCAGGGCCACCGTTCATATCCGTCTACACATGTCAGTGTCACAGCTTGGTTACGCTGTCTGAATAAAAAACAGTTATTTCCTCTTTAAATCTTTATGCATTATTCTGATTCATAGGTGAGGTCCCTGTATGTTCAAATTCAACTTGTCATTTAACAGCCGCCCACACAGTTTCAGATTGCATGAGAAAATGATGGTCCTGTGCGTGTCCTTCAGTTAGCGTGCAGTGGCTGGCTCCAGCTACAGGGCCACTTGGCACGCTCCCCACTGTGCTGTGAAGAGGGCCTGGGCAGCTCGCCGGCATAAACAGGGTGGAGGGGTCAGAGGACTCAACGGGGCTGCAAATAAACAAAGTTCCCTCAGTGGTAGAAGCCAGCACTGGTCAAACAGCTGCAATATATTCTGTCTTATTGTTTCCTTTTCTTTCAACACAATTTGTTCAGCCCTGACCACAGAGCCACAGAGTTTCCCTTCTTGGTGTCAAAGAAATGTCGATGATTGACAATTGCAGTTCTGTGAATCATGACTGATGTCTGGTTTAAACCCTCGAAGACACCTGTCAAGTGCCTCATAGTAAAAGATAAATGGTCTTGGCCTCCATTAGTCCTTGGCTGCTTTGCGATCCCTTCTTTCACAGTGGATTGCCGGTTAATGACTTATGCATTATACATCGTTTCTACTGTTGCCATGGGCTTAATGGTTTTCCCTTTACGAGTCAAGGGAACTCTCAGGCTCCCAGAAGGTTATGTGGAACATTACCCTCTGTACACCTTTTAACCAAGAGGCCGTGACTCAACTTCCCCATGAAGAAAATATAACATTTCAGTTCTTTGTACAAGACATAAGAGATGTATCGATCATGTCATCGGACTCTCAGCAATAAGCTGTCCAAAAAAGTTGCACTTTCAAAATAAAAGTTGCAACAGGACTGAGAGTGAAAATGCTGTCTCGATTGTGGAAATACTAGTTTGGCAAAACAATTGTTTTTCCAAAGCTTTCAACCACATCACATGGTTTTCATGAGTAATTGGAGTTTGCCTATGTTATGAAGATCCGTTGACATGCTAGTTCTGTTGCTGTAAAATAGTCCATCTATAACAGAAAGCTAGAAAGTGTCACTCAGCTTCCTGATTACAGGAAGCTGAGTGACACTTTCTAGACAGAGTTCCCCTGAATGCAGCATGTCTCCCTTTACTCTCCCTGTTCCTCCCCCTCTCTCCCCTCTCTCCCCTCCCACCTCCCCGCCCTCAGGCATTATTCTCTTCCCTCTCCACCCCCCCACCCACCCTCTGTCCTCCTCCTCCTCCTGGCTCCCTCCCTTTCCTGCTGGCCTCTCAGCAGAGGATGTGTCTGGGTGAGAGAGTGTGTGTGTGTGTGTGAGGGAGAAGATGGAAAGCCGTCAGTAGAATGGATATGTGCCCTCTCTCCTCCGCCCTCTCTTCTCCCCCTTTTCTTCTCCTCTGTCTCATCACTATTTCTTCACCGTCCTCTGCCAGTGTTGCACCCTGGACGCCCTCAGGGAACAGGAGACTTGACCGGTGCATGGGCAGCTGAACAGTGAACTTCAATGTCAGCAGGAGATCAGAAGAATGGTGGTGACAAACCAGGAGGTAAAGACACACACACACACACACACTGCCTGCTGATGGCCAACACCCACTTCTTCATTAAACATCTCAGAATGACTAGAGACCAGACAAAGCTGTGTATGACTGTGTGTTGCTTCTCTGAGAGAGAGAAATGAATGAACTCTTCAGTGTCCATCATTTAGGAGTCAGGTTTAGAATGATGCATTGATCTGTGGGCCTGCACAGGCTTTGAATTACATATTGAATATCTGCAAGTCAGCGCAATCCACCCCGAGTGTGATGAAGGTTCCTGTCTGGTTACAGCTGCTCACAAATGGGCTTAAATCCTGAGTGTTTAGAAGTTGTTGAAAAAATCGGTGCATTAGTCTCCTTGAATATAAAGTTGTACTGTCCCCTTGTGGTACTAATGCAATTTCAAATAGCTGAGAACATTGTCACCACAAGGTCCATTTTTGGTAGTTGTTGTGGTCCTCATCAGTAGATGTCTTTTGTCCTGTTATCTGTTGTCTTGCTAAGAGTTTTCTTTCTGTCTAACATTGAAAAGTTTTTTCTTCTGCAGAACAGTTTCTGAAGTAAAAATATGTGACTTTCAATTGATAGTCTGTTGATTTAATCTTGTTGGTGGACTCTGGAGAGAGCAATCAACAAAAGTAACAGAGGCCAATATATAACCAAAGGTACAGGGTTTGGTATGGGTCCAACTCCAAAAACTACAGCAAAAACTACACCACCCACAATGCAACTAGATAGCATCGTTTTGAGATCCTCTTGACCAGTGACTGCATATAAATATGGTGACATGATAGCTCCTCAAACGTGACGCCGAAACATCTGGAATACCCCCTGGTGGCTGGCTGCAGTATAGTATAAACCCTGCCACCTCCATGTTAGTGGATGGGACACGGAACAAACAAAAAAATTAAAGGACACTTCATATTTGAGGTGGCTTTGTCATGTTTCTGACAATGAGTTCTTGATGCTATAAAAAAAGCCATAATTGGCAGATGAGATGGACTCACCATTGGTAGAGCAGGTGTATGAGCGTGAGCTTCATACTTTGGCTCCTCAACATGATCACTACTGCACAGACCATAATGATATCACCAGTGTAAAATGACAGCACTGGTATCAGAGGTATTTTAGCTTCATTTTTGTGCAGTGGGAGGAAGCGGAGAGGTGTCATCCATCTTTATATGCAGACCTATCCCATGACTGGTATAATGATGTAACATTATATAACATGTAATACTGGTGGAGTGCACCTTTAAAAACATATATTTACAAGTAAAATAAACTATAGGAACACATGAGTTTGTTGTATTGCCTTCAAAATATGGACTCATCATGGCTCTGCTGGGCCTCCACACCAGCTCAGCATTACTGCAGGATCATGGTGTTATAGGTCAGTGGTGATCTGTGCAGCTGTGCTTACATGACGCTCACCATTTTCCTGAAAGTGAGCTCTATGGTTCGTTGTCCTGCAGAGCTGTTGATGATGTAGTCTTGGTAAAGAGAGCATGCCACAAGAGACTGAGACAATCCTGTTTGCGTAGTTGAGACATCCAAACACACAAACACACACACAGTCATGAATTACTCTAAATATCAGGTGCTCTTACTCCCACGTTCTTAACTTTTAGTGATAAACGCTCTGTGACTGTTGGATTTTGTTATCTCTGCACAATCAATGACCCTTTCAACCCCTACGTCACAGAGAGAGGCTGCTCTGTGCTTGCTCATTGCTCTCTGCTGAGTCACCGACTAGTTCATTATTCAGTTAAGTCCAATTATGATTGGCCATTCAAATGGTCTCTGATGGTCTGATCAGCCGCCCATCTCGCTGAGTAGCAGAGGAGAACTGACATCTGATCACCTGACAGGCCGGCTGAATGCAGAACCACAGTCATCTCTGCTGTAAAAAGATCCTCTCCATTAGGACGTAGAGATGTGTTCTTCTAAATGAGAAACAAATGAAAAAAACAATAGGCAATGCAATATATAATTACTTTTGACAGAGATGTTACATCTGGGAACAAACTTTATCACTGCTAACTTATTTCCCCAAACATTTGTTTATAGCAGAGTGCTATTGGAAACATCGGACATAGAAGGTCCCCTAGGTTTTTTTCCCTGACAGTTTTTACAATGTTTAATGCCTCTCATCACTTTTCTTTGTGTGGTTTCAATCTATCTCAAGAAACAAAATGGAATGGCACTCAGTATAGTGTGTGTCACTCAATCTGGATCTGCAACCAATTGCACATTCTCATTTATATATATATATGTATATATGTATAATTTTGTCATCAACAGCAATGAATTATTCTCAGGAAAGGTAAAGTAAAACTAAGTGAAAAAAAATTCTCAATCTGCTCCCAGATCCAGATCCACACCAAAATGTAATTACTAGGTCCTTCCATCATTTCTTTTGGTAAACCATCCAGTAGTTTTTAGTAATCCTGCTAAACCCACCCTATCTAATGTCCTGTCTCGCCATGTCAAAGCAGTATTCATAAGGGTTTCTTTCTGCAGTTTGCCTTTCAAACAAAAACAACACAGCAGGAGATTCTCTGCTCAGGCATGTTCACAACAGCATTCAGGGGAGTGGTGGTGCAGGATGTAATGTATTCATTCTGCTGCAGAGATCACATGGTTTTGTTTACAGCACATCGACACAGACGTCGGCCCTTATCACCACGACGTCTCTGTAGGCCCGGTCATACCAAACACGAGACTGATAATACTTTTAATTTGAATTATTTCCAGGTATTGGATGAAACAATGAAACTGATTTTAAAAAGATGAGCCTGGTTCCAGTTCACTCTGTAAATCAAATTAAAGGTCCAGTGTGTAGGATTTAGGGGGATGGCAGAATTGGATTATGATATTTCTAAGTATGTTTTCATTAGGTTTTGTATTCCCCAAGAATGCAGGACAGTATGTTTTCAAATCTGGTCCAATGTTTCGCCTGAATTCAAAGATGAGCTGATTTGATTCAAAGGTTAAGATCACTTTCATTTGACAAAACATATTTTTTGGTCTCCTGAAAGGAGACTTAGAATCTTTTCTAATTTGGCACAAACAACTAACTGGAGTATTTTCTGAATATTATAATTCTTTCTTTATATGGAACAGTAAGTCTTGCATCAGTTTTCAAATGCTTCACATCTCAACCTATAGCTACTCTGTTTAGTTTAGCTTAGCTCAAGTAAACAATGGTTCTCCAAACCCTTGAGCGAATGTGTTTCTCCACATTCTACTTGAAATAAGAAAAGAACAACAGAAATAGTTTACGCATACCACACAGCCAGGGACGTTGACCTCTGGGCCACAATGAATCCATACGTAACTGATTTTACTACACTGTGGAGAGATCCTTGTCTTTCTTTCTGTTTTTACGATAATGCATTGAAACTATTTAAACATTGCCGCAAAAAGAGAATTAGATAATTGATTTAGGTTTTTTCAAGGTTGTTATATGGAGAATTTCCAAGTTATGTAAAACATGCTGAAGGGGATAATGGCAATATAATTAGACAAAAGTGGAAAAGAGACTTGAAGCTTAGTTTTAAGTGACGAGAAATGAACAGTCAAAAGCATAAACTTTTTCCTCTCAAAAGCATACATAAAACACATGCACGCTGGAAAATGTCGAACAAATGCAAGAAAAGGTCAAACAATGGAAAATGGATTATCTAAATAAATTAAATAAATTATTATAAACATTAATTGACAAAATGTATTGTTACATCAATTGCAAAAGGTATGATTCTTTGAAAATGTGGCTTCCACATATGGAATTCATGTCCAGCAGAGCTGCTACTATGAATAGTGTCTGACGAACTGCTGGCAGTTTATCCTGTTTCTGTATCCTCAGGGTTGGGTTGGTTTCGACGTGAATGAAGAAATGGCTCCTTATATTTTCTGTTATTTATTTCATTGTATGATTAGAGGGTCATTGTCATGCTGGTACAATCCTCATGAACCCACCGTTCTGTCTGATGTTAAACGAACCAGGGTATTACATGCTCCATGTCCTACAGACCATGAACTTACATTCTTAATATAGAGCCCTTCTGTAAATCGTCTGTAATAAATGAATTCTTTGCAGTTTCTCAGCTGATGTTGAATGAAGTGAGTGATTGTTTCACATGGGAGACGATCACATGCTGAATAGTCAATGAAAACAAAACTCACATGGTTGCATTACTTTTCCAGCTTTGCAATTGCATGTTGGACTATACTATGGTTTAAGGTGCAAATGAAGGATTTAAGAAAAATCATTTTCATTTACATTGTGAGATGGAGAGCATTTTCATATTCTTCAGTTTCTGAGGAAATAATGATTAAATCATAATTTAAAAATATAGACACAAGATCAGTGAGTGTGTATTATTTGGTGCAGATTAGCAGACTACTTCCTTTTCCTTTTTTCTATTATAAGAGCTAGACAGTCATGTGTATTAGTGTTTGGCCTTGGTGAGATAGATGATTGTTATAGTTCCTTGTTCCCTCTGTTCTCTAATGGGCTCCACTCAAAACCACTGGTTCTGATTCTTTCTTCAATTTAAAGCCCCGACGCTTACGATTAGAACATTTCCAACTTTTGCAACTTTGAAATCTGCCATCAAAAAAGGAGCATGGTTAACAAAAAGAAAAACGAAATAACAATTGAACCATGTGGCTCTAATTCAAACAGTTACACAAGGATTTTGGCTCTCTATGTCTGGCACATAAAAAAGCTGAATGGTACTGCAGGACAGGAAACACTGACCTGACGTTCCCCTCCTTTGTCTGCTCGACAGACACGGTGCCGGTGGCTGAGGTATGGCCGGAGGTGGAGAGGGCCGAGTGTTTGGCCCGTGGCGCCGCCTTGAAGTGGGCATCAGGAGTTTTCTGTCGGCCTGAACATCTGGAGCGACTGAGCCAGTACAGGAAGAGAGAGAGTCAGAGGACTGCTTCCATACACACCAGGCTCAAGGTGACAACACAGGGACACATCCAGATGCACACAACAAACTAATGATCAGTTGCAATCACAGTTTATCAAATGGTCTCATATATGACGGTGATAGTGGGATTGAATCCCTGTTAAAACAATGCCACTTTATTTCTTGTTATCAATCACTTCCTCCCAGTCCATGGTCCAGTCGTACCTGGAGGGGGTAGGCTGGGGTCTGGAGCAGCTCCAGGAGGCCCGGGTGGAGCTCAGGGAGGTGTCACACACTTTGAAGAAAGCAGGACTGGAATTCAATCAAAACGCCAACGGGGTGAAGCCTCTGGAGAGGCTGAGAGAGGTGTCAGTCAACCACCGGCAGCTCCTCGCTGCTGTCAGCAACTTGCCACGTCTGTACTCAGGTGACACGCTGCTTTGTGGACAGAGATAATGAATCAATGCGCTTTTCACATTTAATCAAGTCCAAAATGTCTGATGCATGTGGATGAAGAAACTTTTTTTGGGGAAATGTAATTCATTCTAGTTTACAATAGCTTAAGTGATGGCTTGTTGTAATCACCTTCCACTTCACCATCATCATATTGTACCATATTCCAGCCTAGATCATTCTAAACATACTGTACTGTTAATATAACATAATATAGTCCAGTAGATCAGCTCTGCTGTAAATGCCACTTTGATGAAGCTCAGAATGTTTTGTCATAACTCTGCACCGGTGACACCCAGTGGCAGCTAGCATAATGTGTTGGAGTTGTCTGTCCTTACGTCAAATTTCTCAAACGTAATATCTTTAGAATGTCTTGAGGGATTTCTTCACATTCGGTACAAACATTCACTTTGACTCAGGGAATAACTGATTTGACTTTGGTTGTGAAAGGTTACAGTTCAAGGTCACAGTGGCCTCACCAAATATGTTCATGTTTTACATCAATGTGCTTGTTTAAGATTAGCTTTGCTCAAATTTAGAAGTCAAAGATGAATTGATTTTGGTGATCGAAAGACAAAGGTCAAGTTGTGAACGTGATATATCAGGAAAACCCAAAGGGAATTTCATTACATCAGCCACAAACATTGACTTGGACTCAAAGTACCAGATGTCTTTCAAAGGCTCTGCCACTGTGACCTCACAAAACATATGTATCGCTTTGTGAATGTGCTATCTCAAGAATGCCATGAGGGCATTTCTTTAAATGTGATACAAATATTCACTTGGTCTCAATTATTAATTGATTAGATGTCCGTGGTCAAAGGTAAAGGTCACAGTGACATTATATGAATCTGGAAAACAAATATTTGAAGATGGAAACTGCCCGGGTTGGCAGTGCATCTGTTCATATTATGAACCATCGAATAAGATTGAAACAGAGTCTTTACTGCTTTTTTCTTTTACCAAACTATTCTCAGAGAAACATCCCTGCTGCCTCAAGTACTTATGGTGTAATGTAGAACATTTTTGCTGGAAGCTTAGGTTGCATAAATTGTTGACAGTTAGAGGAATGACAGTTCTCTCTCCCTCCGCCCCTGGCTTGTCTCACAGTGCATAGTCTGGTGTTAGAGACTGAGCGTCTGGTGGAATCCCGCCGGCTCCTGGAGGCCCACGCCCGGCTGATGGATCTGGAGCGCTGGCAGGACGACATCCTCTGGCAGCTCCATGGAGCTGCTGGGACGGCAGGAAGTGCAATCAGCAGTGAAGACAAAGAGCTGGTGGCCAAATATTTCTCTGGTGTTGGACAGCTTGTAGACGCCTTGGGTGAGGACATCCTCTCAGTTTACTCAGTAATATTAGTTCAGTTCAATTTGACTCATTCTAAAGCATAAATACGACTAACTCTTTCTATGCTGCCTCAGTGATGTTTGTGATGGCTCCTCTCCCCATGTAAGGCTTTGGAGAGCGATTGACCCGCAGTCTTGATAGGCATGTACCTTGCCTTCAGGCCCTGTGTCTGGCAATCAACGACCAACTCTTCATACTTAGTCTTCCTCCACTCCCTGACTTCCTCCAGATGCCCCCACAGCATTGTCAGTTCTAACAAGACAATGTTCTTTGTGACCTCTGAGACCAGGAGGAGATCTGAACCTCAGCTGCTTCTCCACAGCAAGCTGCCGTCCCTTTGGCCCAATATATTCTGAGCTCAACATCTGTTAACACGTATATGTCAGGGCCTGTCTAATGAAAACCTAAAACACATACAGACACTAACATAACACTATATTTTATGTGTAACCTTGATTTATCAGCAGCATTAATTGAAAAAAAGATCAGTCCCAGGATGAGTCTCTAACATCCTCATCATCCCCCCTGTCACTGTAGGTAAGGAGCTTTGGGCAGTGGTGAGCAGTGCTCTGGCTCTGGCCCGACAGAACCCCACACCGTTTGTATCGGCAGTGAGGATAGTGGAGCGGGAGGAAGCCCTGGACCAAGCTCTGCTGGAGGACAGAGGGGGCACCAAGAGCAACAGCAGGCCCCTGCCCCCTGGACGACCTCGCTGCTGGAGAGCATGCTTCTTCAAGGTGAGAGCCAACTGATACAGAACACTTCCCCTTTAGATTCAAGATTCTGATTGTGTTCACTCTCGCCAATCGACCACCTCTCAGGTACTAGAGGAGGCGGTGTCTGCGCGGTTCCGTAGCGTGTCTTACCTGCACACGCGTGGCCCAGGTCTGGCAGGACACCTCTCTGCTCTCCAGCACGCTACCATGGCTGACCTGGCCACTGTACGCCACCTGCTGGAGCACTGTGTGCCATCCCACTACCGACTAACAGGAGCCTACCTGAGGGCCAGCCATCGCTGTTTGCAAGCTCACCTGGCACAGGTGAGTGATGGGACAGAAGGAGACCAATGCTGCACCGTGTCACTCATTAATATGTAGACTACACCTCTCTCTGAACAATGACAGAGGCTATTCAACTATTGGAGCATTTCTTTTCACAAAGCTAATTCTTTTTTTGATTTGTATTCATTTGAAAAGATCTCACTATATACATGTTAGTGATATTTGTGGCCTAGGTTAGCAGCTGGGACCTGGAGAGTGGTGAAATCTTTGCAGTGCTTAACTGGGTGCTGCACATCTATAACAGGTGAGGCATTTTTATTTTTGTCTTTGTGTAGGTCCTTGTGCACATTATTGTTGAAGTGAAGTGTAGCAGCTTTGGGCAACACTCAAACCCATCAAAGCTCATAAACAGCCTCTAATTTGTATTCTCTGCCCCTTTCCCCTGATAAGCATCTACAGAAGCATCTGTTATCAAACTGTTGTCTTATTATTATTAGGTTTTTAAGTTGTCATGGGGGATAGAGGACACCGTCTGACTGATAGCCGATGCATCTTGGATGCGCCTGAACCCATCATCACTGATGTTTAGAGAGATTTTTCATTAACCATTACCAGCCCTTTGCAGTATTATGGTGTTATCTTATCTTTACTCTTTATATTATTACGTCTAAAAATAATATATAAGTAAAAAATCACTCTCTTGAACTGCTCGAAGGTTAAATACAGTATGACAGTGTTAAAAAGTCCCATATAGTCCAAGTTCAAAGTTTTTTAACTTGGCAAAATAATTATTTGTAATTATATGACTTATCTATATTAACATATCTGCAGAGTCTCATCCAGGTCATGGTAGCTTCACGTAGGCAACTATCACAGGCTTTAGCAGAGGACCCAAATGCAGGCACTGCAGCTTGCTAGATGAATTGATAATTTATTAAGAAAAAAACAAAACAAAACAGTCTTAAGCCGTTTTCAGACATTTCCTGCTGAGGATCTCTACAGAATTGGGTCCAGACTTTCACTGCAGTTTCCCTTTAACACATGCACAATGCAGCGGGGAGGTCCCTCTCTCTGGTCTGAGTCGGACTCCTTCTTAGTGCATCTTGGAAAGTCCAAAGATGCAGGATTTCCCCAGGAAGGCCATCCCCCGCATCTATGCCACAAAGGAGGAGCCCTGCTCAGACCCATCCCCAGCAGCACTCATTCTGTAACATACAGCATCGCCAAATTACTTCTTTGTTAAATTTCTTTGTGAACTTCTTTGTTATTAAAAACAAGCAAGTCCAGTTACCTACGTACACGTGTATAACTTTGAAGTTAGATAAATGGACACAATCCATCAACAGCTCTGAGTGTGACAGTCTTGTTTTGGCAGCCCAGACATGATGGGTCATCCAGAGCTGGTGACTGAGATGGAGAAAGAAGAGCTGGGACCTCTCATCTCCGCCGAGGGCCTGGAGCAGCTGCAGGGCAAATATGTGCAGAGTGTTCGGGTGAGTTGGCTGCAAACTTTCAATTTTTCTCAAGATTTCCAATCAGTGACCTGAATGAGAGGACATCTGCTGAGATGAGATATGAGGACTGAGCTGGGTTTGACCAGGGCACTGGATATATGGACAGGAAGTGACTGGGGGAGGAGGAGGGTCACTGAAATGACAGCTGACAGTAAGAGAGAGGAGACCAGATTAAAGTTTGACACCAACTACATGAGTGGATTGGATTACAGTAAACACCCACAGTCATCTGATAGGAAGAAGAGAGTGTGAGAGAGAACTGTGAATGAATGGGTCTTAGAGAAGGTTTAACTCATTTTAACTGATTTAACTAATGTTCATTACTTTCACATTTTGTGTTCGACACTCATCAGAGGTCTTATTCACCAACACTTTGTTCACCAACAGTTGGTTGGGGAAATCTGTCTTTTGGGGAGGGCAGCTGTGTCGACTTCCTGTGAAAATAATTCCAGTTTGTCTCTGGAAAGGTCAAGAAAGTACTGTAAGCTGAACCCTGATGGTGTCTGTCACTGTGTGTGTCCACGTTGCTGCTGTTATAGAAGAGTGTGTCAGAGTGGATGCACAAAGCTCTGCAGGTGGAGCTGCAAGACTGGCAGAGAGACCAGGAACCAGATACAGACCATCAAGGTTTCTACCAAACCAGCCTGCCTACCATCATCACACAGGTATACAATATGCAACACAAGACCCAAAATACAACAACCATGTCCTGAACACACACACAGAAAGCCTGCAATAAGAACTGTGGCACCAACAACCACTTTAAGTGCCATTTAAACTTCATACTGGAGCTCAGGCTGAAGAGTGCAATCAAATCTAATGTCTTCATCACTGTCCACTGCCTGGAGACACACCTACTAATGACACTGTGCTTATTGCTTCTTTGAATTAAATGTAAAAATAAAACCTTTGAGCTCTGTAGCCACTTCTCAGCTCCACAATTCACTTTACACTCTCCGTGGCCTTGTTCTGTTTGTGGGACTGTGACAGATGCTGGAGGAGAACGCCCGGGTGGCTCTGATGATCGGAGAATCCCTTCGAGATCAGACAATACAGATGGGACTGTACGAGATGGAGAACCTTTTGAACAGGTGTGTGTGTGTGTGTGTGTGTGTGTGTGCGTGTGTATATATACCTGCCTTCTGTTTTATACAGTTCACCACTTCATGTCTTCACGTTTCTTCACCTCTAGGTTTCGGGAAGCTCTGGTGGAATTCGGGAAAGAACGTCGAAGGGCTCCAAGCAACGATAAAAACAAGTTCTACCTCCACTACTTGCTGGCGTCGATCAGCAACTGCATCATCCTCAAGTAAGATTATGGCACAGTATAGATTATAATTTCCAGGGACTTAGTGTGGGTCAGTATCATGTCAGTCAGCATCACAACATCCTGCTAAAGTTCACAGTTTTACCTCCAGTCTTCACTCTTCATACACTGCTTGCAGCTTGGAGAGTTATCTGCTCTTTCCTTTACTAGGAGAAAAATATGAGTTCTTGCTCCTGTAACAAGGTTTTCATCTGTGCTATTCAAACAGTGTTTCTCCCACAAAGAAAAAAAAAAACCTTTCAGGAAAAGCAGGATCAAATCTCAGCTTCTTTCTAAAACAGTTCTGTGTGCTCTTGTGTCTGATGCAGAAAGTCCACAGAGAGCCTGCAGCAGCAGCAGTCATCACGCTCAGCCGGCCAGTTTTCTCGGACCCCTTCCAACCCGCTGGCAGCTCTGGACCGGGCCGTGAGACGAGCGTGTCGCCTGGTGATGGATCAGCTCCTTTTGGACCTTCAGCCTCTCCTCCCAGGCTTGCTGACCCGACCCTGGCTGGTCCAGGGGGACCCCACCCCCAAACTCTGCCATGTCCTGGAACGTCACCTGGAGTTGTACGGCCGCGTCCGGCCGCCCTGCCGACAGGTCACTGCTTTGCTCTGTACTGCATTTCTTTGGGGTAAAGCTGGAGGAAAGGAATGAATGGTTAATGAAACCCAGCGAGTGGAGCAGAAGGACCATAAGGGTGATATCAGAATAAAGCAGAGAGGATTATCCTGAAGATCACTTTTATATTCCATTATATTCACTCAAAATCTTCCCCAGCATCATCTGTTTTCATATGTGTATAATTTCAACTCTCAAAAGTTTTGTTATTCTTATCTTATTCTATTTGCTTTAGCGTGACATCAAAATTACTATGGCAGCATATATACAATATGTGAATATTGCTCATAAGTATTTATCTAAAAAAAACAATGTTAATTTTTTAGTTAACTATGTTAATTTTGTAAAAGCATCAGGGTTTAAGCTGTTTTTATGTAGATTATTACCTGCCCAACTTAAAAATGTATTTTCTCACCCTCCACGATGAAGCGAACCAAACACAGTGTTGCATTTAGTAACAGTCCAACTCTTAGTGCAGCCTCAAAGCAGTACAGGTTGATCTCTAACAGCGCTGTGAGGGTCTTCTGTATTTATATTGGGAGTATTCATGGTCGTTGCTGTTGAAAAAGTGTATGGTCAACGCGCGCTGCTGAATGTTATGGGCGTATCTTGCAGCGTCTCCAGGAGGAGGCCCAGTGGCTGATGGTGGTGGAGTACGTCAGGGCTCTGATGCAGAAGAGGCTGGTGTGTCGCAGCGCAGACGAGAGGAGGCAGCTTGCTCAGCAGATGGCTCAGGATGACCAGCTGTTCAGAGAAATCCTCCACAGCCTGGTGAGATCAGAAGCGGCCACACTCACCCGATGTTCATGGTTCAGGGAGATTTCTCATTAACCATCACCTTTGCAGTATCATGGTGTTTGTGTCTGATTGTGTCTGATTCATTTTTCATGTGACATTGACTGAGGAGAGGTCTGAAACTACAAGATACTCTGTTAAAGTCCTGGTGGGATTCTCCAAAAATACAAAAATATTTGAAACTGGGTTGATAATGTTAGTTGCAAGGTTTCACTGTAGAGTTTTACTGACTGAAGTACTGGTTTGTAAATGTATCTGTGTGAATCAAAATGCAATTCTGATATTATGTGATACAACGGTGTTCCCAACACCCTAGTCAAACTCAGGTGTGTACAGTAACTGTGTGCCTGTGTAGGAGGGCGATGGGTCGGCACCTGAGGTCAACCCTTTGGCCTTACTACCTGTCCTTGCTGACTTCATCCGACTCAAAGACCCCACCATGCTGACTCTGGAGGTGTCAGGACTGGCAGCCAAATACCCCGACATCAGGTAACCTGACCTCACCTGACTGATGCTTTGCAGCCTGTCCTGCTCTTTGTGTGCATTGATTAAAGACCAGTTTTCATCACAGTGTGGTTCATGTCAAACCAGATCCTTGTTACTGAATTAGTGCAAGTCAGAGAGGTTCTGAAGGTCCTTCCTCCCAACAGCCATAAGACTTTTCAACAAGCACGTAAAAACAGAGTAATAATCATTCCTCTCATTTTTCTGAATCTACCTCCTACATATA